CTATTCCTAGTGGTAATCCATACCCAAATCCATCATTTTTGGGAACACCATCTCAAGGTACCTCTTTTCTTTGTTTTATATTGCTGCTACTATTCTTTTTGAAGAGCTAACACTGTTATCCTTAATGCTTAGTGAAAGAAATATTAACCTCCCCATGTCTCTTGAAAATAATGTAGTTGAATAGAAGTTGCATCCAAGCAAGTATTGACATTTGGCCATGAATGCCTTTGCGTAGGAACACCTTTAGTAATATACCTGAAAGCTCCTTATCTGGGTACCAGGATTTAATATGCAGCCATGAAATCTGTATAATTGGCTCTATTTGACTCCCAGCATTAAGAAGAGTGATTGCAAGCTTTCTTGGCTTTTATCCTGCATGCCGACACTTAGAAAGCCTACCTGGGAGCATCTATCCAATCTGAGTCTCTTCTTACCAGGGAAAACCAAATTCAATACCTATTTATTCCAGTATTTTTATAAATATTCTTACCTTTGGGCCTACATACACAGGCTTTGGTTATTGAGGATGCTGAATGTTTAAGGTTAAATTTAAAGATTTGTCTTTCTTATGTTGTGTACAAGGTGTACATCCTCCTGCCATGTCAACTCCAGTGTGTGTTTCAGGAAACCCAGCAACTCAGGCCCCAAGTATTAGTTGTATGGCTGCACCAGAGATTGTGTACTCTGGAAAACACAATGGTATTTGCATTTACTTTTCTCGAATCATGGGGTAAGTTTTGCATGGAATAACCAACTGTTGCTCACCTTGTCCTATCTTGTGTAGTTGAATATTTTTTATTCCTGTTAAATTTAACTTACAGTTTTATTTAGCTCACTTGTTCATTAATAAAATTGTTTTCTATTTAGCTTTTTTTAATCATCTAACCATCTATATTTGTTGTGTTTTATATATATGTATACACATACATATTAACATATGGTGTTACAAACCACCCCATTAACTCAGTGACCTGTATCTGCAAGTCAGCTAGGCGGTTCTGGTCTTAGCTAGACTAACTCATTTGTACTCATTCAGCTGTGGGATTGAAGAGAGCCCTGTCAATCTTGGCTGGAGTCTCACATGTTTAGGGTCATGTTTGTATGCAGGTCTAGAATGGTCTCTGCTGGGACAATTGGGTTTTTGTTTTTCACATGGTCTCTCATCCTCCGGCAGAAGCCAGGGGTTATTCCCTTGGTGATGGCAAGGTCCCATGAGACAGGGTAGAAATTTGCAAAGCTTCTTGATGCCTAGGTTTAGAGTTGGCTTACCATCATTTTAACCCCATTCATTGGGCCAGGGAACATCTCCAGGCCAACCCAGATTAAAAAATAGAATCCATTCAAATAAAATCTTTTAAAAACGCAGTGGGTGGGTACCTGGGTGGCTCAGTCGTTAAGTGTCTCCCTTCGGCTCAGGTCATCATCCCAAGGTCCTGGGATCAAGCCCCGCGTCGGGCTCTCTGCTCAGAGGGAAGCCTGCTTCTCCCTCTCCCACTCCCCCTGCTTGTGTTCTCCCTCTTGCTATGTCTCTCTCTGTCAAATAAATAAATAAAATCTTAAAAAAAAAAAAATTGAATCCATTCAAACATGGGAAATAAACTCATTATGAGACACACATCAAAGTCATATTGTAAAGGATAACTATAAGGAGGGACAAAGAATTACAGCCATTTTTGCAATTAGTCTGCCATATCATCCAGTTAATTATCCTGTCTGCTATATATTTGTCTTAGATTTGAGATGGATGCTTTCATTTGAATCATTTGCTTAAAATGTGAAGCAGTGCAATACTCTTTTATAAATTTGTTTTTGCATTATAAACTTTGTTTACAATTCATTGCCCAGAGTCTTTTGATTTTTTCTCAGCGGTATTTCATTATGTGAAATAACTTAGGTATATCAGGTTTAGAAATTTTCTTGTTTTCCATTCTTTTGGATAACTTTGTGAACTGTTAAATAATTGCTGTATTTTGATAAACACACAGAAAGGAATTTACTACATATTATAATTGTTTTTGTTTATACAGCATAATTATTAAAACATTTTTTATTTCAGAAATATTTGGGATGCGAGTTTAGTTGTGGAGAGAGTATTCAAGAGTGGCAACAGAGAAATCACTGCAGTAAGTGTGTTGTATAATGTATTCCATTGCTGTATGTAACCATTTTATGGTATTAATTGTATAAATAGATTGTTTCACATTTCTTGGTATTAGAAACAAGATGCTGATTATTCTTTTATGGACATGTTTGTGTACGTGTCCAATGAACTCCTTGCCCTGGGTGAAGTCCAGTCCCAGCTCTGTCACTTATATAAATGATGAGTCATTTTCTTAATATTTCAGTCTGATACCTCACTATAAGGTGAGAATAATAACCTGTTGTGAGGGGTGCCGGGGTGGCTCAGTTGGTTGGACAACTGCCTTCGGCTCAGGTCATGGTCCTGGGGTCCTGGGATCGAATCCTGTGTCCTGCTTCTCCCTCTCCCTCCGCCTGCCGCTCCCCCTGCTTGTGCTCTCTCTCATTGTCAAATAAATAAATAAAATCTTTAAAAAAAAAAAATAACCTGTTGTGAGGGTTAAACAGAATAAGTCCTAAACAGAGTTAAGTCCTAGTCCTTAATATTTACTCAAAGCTACTATTTAATATTTTGCTTATATGCTCCCGAATTCCATGAACCCAGTACTAATTTCCATGCATAAGTATACTTTCTAGAGTACTTTAAGAATAGATCCTGTAGGGACGACTGGGTGGCTCAGTCGGTTAAGGTCTGCCTTTGGCTCAGGTCATGATCCCAGGGCAGGGAGCCTGCTTCTCCCTCTCCCCCCTGCTTGTCTCTCTCTCTCAAATAAATAAATTAAATATAGTTTTTTTTTAAGATTTTATTTATTTGACAGAGAGATAGAGAGTGAGCACAAGTCGGCAGAGTGGCAGGGAGAGGGAGAAGCAGGCTCCCCGCTGAGCAGGGAGCCCGACGTGGAGCTTGATCCCAGGACCCTGGGATCAGGACCTGAGCCGAAGGCAGTCGTTTAACCAACTGAACCACCCATGTGCCCCAATAAATAAAATCTTAAAAAAAATAAATAAATAAATCCTGTAAAACTTTGTATTATCATAAATTCATAAATTCAGGTAGTAAAATTTTTTTAACGTGAAATATGAGTGCAATTTATTTTAAGCTTTCTTTTTCAATCTGAAAGATACCAAATATTTTTTCAATTGATACTCTTTTTTTTTTTTTTTAAAGATTTTATTTATTTATTTGAGAGAGAGAGAGAGAGAAAAACAGCATGAGAGGGGAGAAGGTCAGAGGGAGAAGCAGGCTCCCCGCTGAGCCGGGAGCCCGATGCGGGACTCGATCCCAGGACTCCGGGATCATGACCTGAGCCGAAGGCAGTCGCTTAACCAACTGAGCCACCCAGGCGCCCCTCAATTGATACTCTTTTAAAGTTCACATTTCTAAGAAGAATATATTTATTTAACATAGTATATGATTCCATTTATATGAAGTTCAAGAAGAGGCAAAGCTAACCTATGGTGACAAATAAGAAAAGTGGTTTCCTGGGAGATGGAATGACTAGTGACTTCTAGAAAGGAGCATTAGGGAACTTTTTGGGTGTTGGAAATATTCTGTATTGTGGTCTGGGTGGTGACTGAATTAAAACATAAAAAGCTATCAAGATAATCACTTAAGATTTGTTTATTTTACTGTCTGTAAATTATACCTAAAACAAACCAGAGCAGGACAGGAGGGATGTAGCTATCTAGTCCTTTATTCTGCACCAAGCATAAATAATTACTGTTTATTGAAACTTGACATTCAGTTATAAAGAGTATGTTTTTTACATATACACTTTTTCAGTGTTTTAAAGCTTTTGAAAATACTTTTTTTCTTACAGATTGAAAGTAGTGTTCCCTCCCAACTGTTGGAGTCAGTGCTACAAGAACTAAAAGGTTTGCAAGAATTTCTAGACAGAAACTCCCAATTTGCAGGCGGACCATTAGGAAATCCAAAGTAAGAATAAACAAGATTTATTTGCCTATTTTTTCCTTTTTCTCTCTGAGATATAATTCACATTATAAAATTCATCCTTTTAAATATTTAGTTCAGTGGTTTTTAGCATATTTATGAGGTTATGCCATTACCACCACTATCTAATTCCAGAACGTTTTCATCATGCCAAAAAGAAACCCTTTACCCATTCGCAGTCACTCCCTGTTCAGACCACAGTAACAATAATACCATAGAATGGCTTAAACAACAAACACTTACTTCTCACAGTTCTGGAGGCTGGAAGCCTGAGATCAGGGTGCCAGTATGGTTGAGTTCTGGTGAGGACCCTCTTCGTCCTTTACAGGCAGCAGCTTCTTTTCTGTGTCCTAACATGGCAGAGAGAAAACTAGGTGACAGTCTCTCTGGTCTCTTCTTGTAAGGTTAATCGCATTGTGTGGGCTTTACTCTCATCACCCCATCTAGACCTAATTACGTCCCAAAGGCCCAATCTCCTAATACCATCACTCTGGGAATTGGAACTTCAACACTGGAATATGGTGGGACACAAACACTCAGTCCATAGCACTCCCCATTTCCTTTCCAGTCCCTAGCAACCACTAATCTATCTGTGTCGGTGGATCTGCCATATTCTGGATCTTTTATGTAATTGGAAATGTGGCCTTTTGTTTCTGGCTTCTTTTAGCATATTTTCAAGGTTCACGTGTTTTAACGTGTATCGGTATTTTGTTTCATTTTTCAGTTCATCAGGTGATGCTCATTTGGGTTATGTTAGCTTTTTGGTTGCTATGAAAAATGCTGATGTGAACATACCTATAAAGGTTTTTGTGTGGGCGGTATGTTTAGGATAAAAAAAATTTTTATTATAGAAATAATATGGGCTGTTTGTAAAGATTTCACTTTACTGCCCAGAAAATTTATGATCTGTAGTATAACAGTGTAAACTATATGAAATATATAAATCATGTATTTCTTTAAAACTGTAAATATAGCACCTTCACAGGTCCTCCCCTGACATTGGGGCCAGGATTTGGTAGCTGGTGCTGAAAGAAAATCCTTGATTGCATCCTGGCCCTGGGACCGTGCCAGGGGCAGCTGTCACTCAGTGGGACAGAAAGACTGTTCTGTGACATCATGTTCAACATTGTATCTTTCTCCTGCCACTCTAACCTTAGGTCTTCTCCTTTAAAAAAAAAAATAATAATAAATTAAAAAATAAACTGCAGATAGAACCTAAATAGGCACACTTTTATGAAACATTGTATATACTTTATTTTCTACAACATTCCAATCAGTGGAATAAATAATTTTTTTTTTTTAAGATTTTATTACTTATTTGACAGAGAGACACAGCGAGAGCAGGATCACAAGCAGGGGGAGCAGAAGAGGGAGAAGCAGGCTTCCCACTGAGCCGGTAGCCCGATGCAGGGCTTGATCCCAGGACTCTGGGATCATGACCTGAGCCGAAGGCAGATGCTTAACGACTGAGCAACCCAGGTGCCCAAGAATAAATAATTTTTATATTGGCTGCATATTTTCCCATTATTTATATGCAGACATTTAATGGTGTAACTCTACTAATAATTGCAGTGTTTCTGTTTTTTCATGTTATAAAGAAGGTACAGTGATTACTCTTCTTTATAAATGTTGGTGTACTTGTTCAGTAATCTTCAGATGAATTTCTTAAGAAGTAGAATTATTGGACGTAAGGACTTTTTAAAATGTTGATATGTAGTGTTCAGTTGTCTCCTAAGAAAGTTAAACCGATTTTCTTTATTTTGAGCCTTTGGAACACTCTATAAAGTATATCTTAACATATAAATTGATTTTTCCCTTCTTTTGTTAACCCAGTTTGAGAGTCTGTCTTTTAATAAGACAGTTTAACCTCTTCCCATGTTTGGGATTAGTTTAATGTTTGATCTTATTTTCACCATCCTGAATTTGTGCTTTTTATTGTGTGTTTTGTTTGTTTTTCTTTCTTTCCCCATCCCCTTATTTTACTGGATTGATCAGACCTCTCCCTACCCCAAACACGGATTTAGAAGTTTTACACATGATTTTCTTTCTCTAGTAGTTAGTTTTAAATTCTGAAAAATACACCTCTCTGTCAGCATTAGTAATTGGACAGAAGCTATTACTGTTCTTTTTCCCCTGCCCCTCTACCAGTATCCTCCTTGGAAATTAGCTGGAATTCTAGTTGTAAGGTATTTTTTTTTTCTTTTTAACATTATGTTCTTCTGTTGGTAGTTTCTTAGCAGTTTATTGAATTTTACAGTTATAACTGCAGTTGTCTGTTAATTTTATACCCTGCTACTCTACTAATTTTTCTGTTTTTTCATTGAGTGTTTTAGATTTTTTCAAATATCTAGTCCTGTCATCTGCAAATAGAGATAATTTTACCTTTTCTTTCTAGCTCTAGTTGCTTTCTCCTGTCTGTATAGGCTAATATCTCCAACACAGTGTTAAATAGTAGTGGAGGTACACTGGGCATCCGGGTCTTATTCCTGACTTTAGTGGGAAAGCTTGTAGTGTTTCCCTATTAAAGACCATGCCGGGGCGCCTGGGCAGCTCAGTCGCTAAGCGTCTGCCTTCGGCTCAGGTCATGATCCCAGGGTCCTGGGACCGAGCCCTGCATCGGGCTCCTTGCTCCGCAGAAAGCCTGCTTGTCCCTCTCCCACTCCCCCTGCTTGTGTTCCCTCTCTTGCTGTCTCTCTCTCTCTCTCTCTCTCTGTTAAATAAATAAGTAAAATCTTTAAAAAATAAATAAAGATCATGCCTACATAGATATAGTTTATCATGCTAAGAAAGTATTCATCCATTTCTGTTTTAAGAATTTTCATGTAAAGTGAGTATTAGAATTTGTCAAATGTCTGCATTTTGCAGAGATACTTTTTCCTTTATTAACATTTTCTAATTTCAACCAACCCTTCACGCCTGCAACAGTCTCACTGCGTATTTGTTAATAGCTTTTTAAGATGTAATTTATATGCCACAAGCTTCACTTATTTTATATGTTCGGTTCTGCAAATTTTAGTAAATATATAGACTTGTGCAACCATTATCACAGTCTATTTTTGGAACATTTTCTTCAACCCAAAGACCGTTCTTTTGTCCATTTGCAGTGATTTCCACCCCTTAGCCTCAAACACTTATTAATCTATCTTATCTATAGATTTGCCTATTCTTGACATTTCATGCTAATGGAATCATATAACTTATGGTCTTTAGAATCTACCTTTTTTTGCTTAGCATTATTTCGAGGTTCATGTTCGAGGTCTATGTTGCAGCATAAATAACTACTTCACCCCTTTTTATTGCCTAACGGGTATGGGATTGTAAGGTCATAGCCATTTTCTCTCAGATTTTCATTTACAGTTTTGTTCCATTTTCTTCCTAAACTTTAATATTGCAGAGGAAAAATACATTGCCTTTCTGATTCTCTTTTCTCTGTAAATGGCTTGTGTTAACTTTGAAGTTTTTTTTATGCTCTTTGTCTTTATTACTGAAAATTTAGCAATTTCACCATGTCTTCAATATGTCTTTTTTTCAGTAAGTGTTGAGAACTAAACTTTCTCAGTGAGCATTTAGAACTAGACTTAAGCCTTGGTGAATTTTCTTCTGTTATTTTTTATTTATTGTACTATCTGATCATTTCCCTTTTCTTGGGAAAATCCTATTAACTCTCCTGGATCTAGCCTCAGTTTCTTCTCTTTTCTTCCATAATTTCCTTTCTTCCTTCCTTTTGTTGTTGTGGTGGTTCTGTAGATTACAGAATTCCTAGAGTTGTTGTTCCCAATCATTTTATATATATATATATATATATATACACACACACACACACACACACACATATATATAATTTTTATTTTTTTAAGATTTATTTTTTTACTTTGGGGGAGGCAAAAGGAGCAGGAGAGTCTTAAGCAGATTCCATAGTGAGCACGGAGACTGATGCTGGGCTCAGTCTCACAACCCTGAAATCATGGCCTGAGCTGAAACCAAGAGTCTGGCACTTAACCAAGTGTGCCACCCATGTGCCCCAATTATATTTTAAATAGCATCTGTTAGGGGCACCTGGGTGGCTCAGTCTGGTTGAGTGGCTGCCTTTGGCTCAGGTCATGATCCTGGCATACTGGGATCAAGTCCTGCCTTGGGCCCCCTGCTCAGCAGGGAGTCTGCTTCTCCTTTCCCTTGCTTTTGTGTTCTTGCTTGCTCGTGCTCTCTCTCTCTCCCTCTCAAATAAATAAATAAAATCTTTAAAAAAAAAAAAGCATCTGGGGCACCTGGGTGGCTCAGTCATTAAGTGTCTGCCTTCAGCTCGGGTTGTGATCCCAGGATACTGGGACCAAGCCCCGCATCAGGCTCCCTGCTCAGCGGGAAGCCTGCTTCTCCCTCTCCCACTACCCCTGCTTGTGTTCCCTCTCTCGCTGTGTCTCTCTCTGTCAAATAAATAAAATCTTTAAAAAAAAAATAGCATCTGTTCAGTTTCTCTGATACATTTTTTCCTGGCCATTATATTTTTAATTCTGAGAGCTCTTTTATTTTCCCTTTTTCGTGACAATTAGCACTTAAAATGTGAATACCAGATTTCACTAGATAGATTACTTGCTGAAACAAACAAGACTGACATTCTCCAGAGGGCTGATATATGCAACAACGTGGATGACTCTCAAATGTATTATGCTATAGAAAAGAAGACAGAATCGATTTGTATGACATACTGGAAAAGGCAAAACTATAGGGGTAGGAGTGCCTGGGTGGCTCAGTCGGTTAAGTGTCTGCCGTGGGCTCGAGTCGTGGTCCCAGGGTCCTGGGATCAAGCTCCGCATCGGGCTCTCTGCTCAGAGGGGAGCCTGCTTCTTCCTCTCCATCTGCCACTCCCCCTGCCTGTGCTCACTCTCTCTCTCTCTCTGTCAAGTAAATAAATAAAATCTTTAAAAAAAGGGGGCGCCTGGGTGGCTCATTCATTAAGCGTCCGCCTTTGGCTTAGGTCATGATCCCAGGGTCCTGGGATCGAGCCCCACATTGGGCTCCCTGCTCGGTGGGAAGCCTGCTTCTTCCTCTCCCACTCCCCCTGCTTGTGTTTGCTCTCTCACTGTCTCTCTCTCTCTCTCTCTCTCTCTCTGTCAAAAAGTAAATAAAATCTTGGGCGCCTGGGTGGCTCAGTTGGTTAAGCAGCTGCCTTCGGCTCAGGTCATGATCCCAGGGTCCTGGGATCAAGCCCCACATCGGGCTCCCTGCTCGGCGGGAAACCTGCTTCTCCCTCTCCCTCTGCCTGCCTGCCACTCCCCCTGCTTATGCTCTCTCTCTATCTCTGTCTCTATGTCAAATAAAAATAAATAAACTCTTTAAAATAAATAAATAAAATCTTAAAAAAAAAAAAACAAAACTATAGGGGTAAAGGAGATCAGTGCTGGCCAGGCTTAGGTAGAAGAGGATTTGGATAGAAGAGACAGCACAAGAGAATTTTGGGGCGTAATGGAACCCTTCTGTATCTTGGTTGTGATGGTAGTTACATGACACCATGCATCTGTCAAAACTCATAAAACTGCACATGGAAAAGGTGGATGTTACTGTGTAACCTGAAACCAAAATACTCATTGTTGAAGGATTCTAAAAACCAATTCATTACTTTTAATTTTGGCAGATAAAGAGAAAGAAGCAACCATTTATTCAGCCTTTCTGAATAAAACGGACATCACAATAACCAAGTAATTGAAACTTTAAGCATCCACAAGATTAAAATGCTTCAGTTTTAAATCATCAATTCGCCAGTGATTATTTCACTATTCTGCAGAGGAAAAGAATATTAGCAATGTATCCCAGCTCGTTTATATGAGATATTCAGAATAGGCAAACTTAAAAGAGACAGAAAGACCAGCAGTTACTTAGGGTAGGGGTGGGAGAGATGGGGATTGACTGCTAATAGAGAGTGATTGAAAATGTTCTAAAATTAGATTGTGGTGATAGTTGCACAACCCTGTGACTATATTTTGAGAAACTGAATTGTGTACTCTAAATGGTTGAATTGTATGGTGTATGAATTCTATCCCAGTAAAGCAGTTGAAAACACAAATACGCATTCTGGAATTTGTTTCAGTACAACAGCCAAAGTG